ATTCTCGATAAATATAATAATTCTTCATATACACACAAGTTCACATTTTTTTCATTTCTTTTCATTGTTCATTTCTGAACGAATAGTGCGATCGCGTGAGCAAATCAATCGTTAGTAGGTACTATATAAGAGTTTGACGCATTGTTATTTTTTTTACCGTTCCGATCGAAGATGACGCAAAAAGACGGCGGCAGCGGCGGATATGGTTCTAATCTAGCGCATGTGAACGGAATTACCTGCGATGGAACGATCATAGATGGATTTGATTTATTGATTGCGGAATAAAACAACACGACATTATTAACAAATTATTAATAAAAAAAACTAAAACCGAATTATTCCAAACTCTATTGATTTTGTACAATTCAACCACTTTTCGTATGCCTATAATACTTCAGGGTGTTCTTTGATACCATTAACTCAATCTTCATAACTAGTTACATTAAAATTGTAACAATTATGAAAAAACAGCACGCCTGGCTTTTATCTAATCAGAATCTTGTAAACAGTTTTCATTTATTAATTACCAAGTCGGATTTGCTGGTGAAAACAGACTCCACCTTCGGGAAGTTAATAACATGCCCTCAAGAAATGTATCGCTCTATTATGACTAATAACATTTTTTATTCCATATTTAACGAGCTAATATCATTCAACTCTAATTTCGCGGTTTTGGATACAATCATCATTTTGTTCCCATTCTTTATATTAATCATGACCACAAAATCACGATATTATTATTATATTAGTTTTTTTCTGATTCGGTATATTAGTAGTTTAAAAAAAACTTCGAACTTTTTATCCAATAATCATCACGCTGTATATTGAAAATTACACAGAATTCTTTCATATCAAAGGTACTTAATACGAAATAAATTACTTGAAATATAATACTACATGAGCGCTTATATGCCAATGTATATCGGGGCATAATCGAAAAGGTGATTAGAAAGTTGTAATATATACTAGGCTAGGAGTTCGAATTTATGAACATCCCATTTTATAAAAAATAAATATACACAAAGTTAGGAAAATTATTTTAAAGTTAAATGCATTTTGTTTCTCCAAAAAGAAGTCTTCCCGTGTACTACAAAAGTAATTAATGCATAATTGATAAAATCAATCCAAACTAGTCTGAATCGATACAAAAGAAATTGACATCTAGACCTATGACTATTTACCTAATAAGATACTCCTAATGATAATTGCTACTTACTATGATATTTCTGTCATTAATTTGTCGATTTATTCGAACTGCTGCAATTGTTTTTATACGAGTTAGATCGAACACTTAACATTTAGTATGCATTAATCATATTAGCAATAACAGTTCAATCAAAGAAACATAGATAATTAAATATGGCATTTGGTTTGGAGCAATTATTTCGAAATATTATACATAAGTAACTGTATTGATTGATTCGGTACTTAAATACTAAATATTGGGTGAAGTTGCGGTTGTAGTTGACTTGTAAGCATTAGAGGTGGTCAGTAAAGGGGCACAATTATATTTTTATTTAAATAAAATTTTAGTCATAAATTTGTGTTTGTTTCAAATAAATTTTAAATCAATTGATTCTTTCTTTTAGGTAAAGAACCAGGCATGGCCCCGTTCGGCCGTCACGATTCCTCCGACATGACAGAAGAACGCATTGCTCACATTCTGTCTGAAGCAAGTCATTTAATGAAAGGTGGTCCAGGATTACCCCAGCCCGGAGGCGCTTCTCCACAAGATGATGAAGATAGAGCTAGTGCTGAAGATGCACCACCATCACCTTACGGATCCAGAGATTCTGGATCCCAGCATGGTCGTAGAATGAGAAAATACGAAAATGATGATATCTCTCAAGACAAAGTTGCCCGAATTTACCAAGAAGAATTGGCTAAATTAATGGGTAGAAGAGTAGATGTTGCAAGGGACGCCGGAGCTGCTGGTTTCCCAGGGTAATTATCTATTCCTTTTTATTTGATTCCATAATAATTAGATTTTCATAATTCGTTAGGATTTTACTATAATCCAATGTCAATTTGACTTGTTTGAAAAATATAAATCAATAATAAATAACGAATAGTTTATCTAATGATTAAGGAAAATAAATCTTATCTCCATGTAACAGTCGAGAACAGCTACTAGAACTAACGTTTAGTTTGTTTCCCAACTTTTTCAGTGGATCAAACCCAAGTGAACAACGAATGCCTGATGAAAACGTGCGTCTTGCCATTGAAGCTTACCACCGTGAACTGTTGAAGATGCAACAGCAACAACAAAGCGGAGCTGCTGGTCAACTTGCCGGACTTTCCGGTATTCCCGGATTACCAGGCTTGCCGGGACTACCTGGATTGCCGAACTTACTTGCCTTGCAACACATGCAACAACTAAATGGAGCTTCTGCACAAGACTTGTCCTTACCTAAAGAAGCTATGATGTCAGCAAAGATGATGAATGGCGATCCCGAAGGTAAAGATGAAAACGAACAAGCCAGACATTGTGGAAGTGCATTTAGCCTTGTGAGACCAAAACAAGAATCTAATACCACTACTACCAATTCGTCAGCGTCTAGCCCATTAGGAAATGCTATCTTGCCACCAGCCATGACTCCTACCGAAGAATACAGCACTGGTGCTGTGGCAAGTCCTTTGCAGCGGATGGCCTCTATCACGAACTCTTTGATCTCGCAACCGCCTAACCCAACACATCACAGTCCATCTCAAAGACCACTTAAGGCAGTTTTGCCACCAATAACTCAACAACAATTCGATTTATTCAATAATCTAAATACCGAAGAAATTGTTCGGAGAGTCAAGGAATCCCTGAGCCAATATTCGATTTCTCAACGTCTTTTTGGAGAATCTGTATTAGGTCTCTCCCAAGGATCTGTTAGCGATTTATTAGCCAGACCCAAACCGTGGCATATGTTGACACAAAAAGGTCGGGAACCGTTCATTAGAATGAAGATGTTTTTGGAAGACGAGAATGCCGTGCATAAACTGGTGGCCAGTCAATACAAGATTGCTCCTGAAAAATTAATGAGAACTGGAAGCTACAGCGGTAGTCCACGTGAGTATGATTATCTTCTTAATTCATTTTATGAAATAATTCGACAATCTTTCATATGACAAATTTTTACTATATTATTATTGAAAAGCTAAATATTAAAAATACTAATTTTATATTTTATATTTCAGAATGTCCAGCAAATTTAAGCAAACAAATGACCAATGCTCCTAAAATGATGACTGATGCCTCAAGCATTTTATCAAAACTCAAACAAGAGCACAACAGTCTCTTGCCCGCTTCCCTTCAATTAGGCGCTATGAATCCACATGGCGCTCTTCCTCCTGGTATGACCGCTGCCATGTTGAATTCTCAACAACAACAACAAATGCAGCAGCAACAACAACAGCAACAGCAACAACAGCCCATGTTGTTAACACCACCAGGAATGCCTCCACACCACGCTATTACTTTACACAACCAAAGAGATCAAATCAAACAAGAAATGGCTATGGGTAAACCGAGCATGGGAGTACATCATTCACCAATGCAACATTCGCCAATGTCACAGCAGGCACAACAGCAACAAGGTGGTGTTATGAGAAGTTTGCATCAGCACATATCACCAAGTGTTTATGAAATGGCGGCTTTGACTCAGGATTTAGATACACAAACCATTACTACTAAAATCAAAGAAGCTTTATTGGCAAACAACATTGGACAAAAGGTAAATTAATATTTGATTTTATATAAAATCAGAATTATAATCAGCTATTGCATTATATAATGTTAAGTTAATAAATGTAATATTTCTATCAATTTATTTCTAACTGGCATATTTCAATTTTAGATATTTGGTGAAGCTGTACTTGGCTTATCTCAGGGTTCAGTAAGTGAACTTTTATCCAAGCCTAAACCATGGCACATGCTGAGCATCAAAGGACGTGAACCATTCATTCGTATGCAGTTATGGCTAAGTGATGCCCATAATGTTGATCGTTTGCAAGCACTCAAAAACGAACGCCGGGAAGCTAATAAACGCCGCCGATCAACTGGGCCTGGTGGTGCACAAGACAACAGCTCAGATACCTCATCCAATGACACTTCCGAGTTCTACCACTCACATTCACCTGGTCCACAGAATGGTCCTCCAAGCACTAAGAAACAGAGAGTGCTGTTTTCCGAAGAGCAGAAAGAAGCACTGCGTTTAGCATTTGCTCTAGATGCTTATCCTAATGTTGCCACTATTGAATTCTTAGCAGTCGAATTAAATCTGTCTACCCGTACTATAACAAATTGGTTCCACAATCATCGTATGCGTTTGAAGCAACAGGTTCCTCATGGGCAGCCTAATGATGCACCTTCTAGAGAACCTGGCAGTCAGCAGGTACCTTTTGACCCAGTTCAATTTAAGTTGCTTTTGAACCAAAGACTGTTAACGTTACAAAAAGAGCGTATCGGTATGGGCGCAGTACCCATACCATACCCTCCTTATTTTGCAACTGGTAATTTAGCTGCTTTGATCGGACGTGGTTTTGATCACTTAGACCAATTAGGAGCTTTAAGTACGGCCGTTAAGGAACAAATGAGTGGTTTAGATTTAAGCATGGGGTCTTCCATGAAACATAGGGATGAATTTGATTCTGATTGTGCTAGTGAGGATGAATCTGAGGATGGAGCGAGAAGTAACAGATGTGAGGAAGAGAAAGAAGACAGAACAGGAGTGGATAGTGAGCCTAGGAACAGCAGTGCTGCGCGTAGTAACAGGCGCAAACCTGCAGCTCCTCAATGGGTTAATCCCGATTGGCAAGACAAATCCGCAAAACCCACCTCAGCACAAGAAGAGGTCATTATAAATGGAGTGTGCGTGATGAAAACTGAAGACTATAGGGTCGATTGTTCAGAAACTGTAAGAGTTGACCCAACCCCGGTTCCAGAAGATGATGTATCTGAAGCAGAAAGGCAAGAGACTGATGAGGTGGCTGAAATTCCCACTGATACCGAAGAACCGGTACATGAGGAAGATGAGCCCATGCCAGATGCACAGACTGAAACCGAAACTGCAACTGTGGATGAAGACACAGATGTAAAACACAACGCCGAAGAAGAAAGATGGGATTATTAATTTAAATATTTCTAAGTGACCATGTTTATTATTTGCTTGCGAACAATTAGAGTGGTTTGGACATTTTAAGTAATGCAATTGCTCTCTATGCAAGTGCCATAGTTTAACATGCATCGAGTGTGAAGACGATGGTCATATTAAGATGTTACAAACAGTGCAATGAAATAGGCGAATGAAACCCAGTTTTTTAATTGTGATTCGATTACAAAAACTTAGTTATATGCGATTGTGGTTAGTCTTTAATGACGATTTGATCTGTAGTTAGACATAATATTATTTATAATTATATTTTTATTATATAATTTTTAATTGTTTTAAATTTTGTTCAAACAACAACCTTATGGTTCCTTGTTTGTTTTTGTTTTCTTGAACATTTTAAAAGACTGTTAATACTTTTTCTATATTAGTGATTTTAATTAGAGTTTAAGTATTGTAATAACTTGAAGCCAAATATGAAATCAAAGATTTGTGACATGGCTGATAAGAAATTTTCATTTTGTGATAAAATACGATCAGCAGTTTCCAAAAAAAAAAAATGTTATTCACTGTTTACCAGTAACAAAACGCGATTGAAGTTTAATACAGAAAATGGCCAAAAATTATTATTCAATTTGTTGAATTACGTACTGTATGTCAAATTCAGTAACATGGACATTAAAAATTAGTTTATTAATAATTTTCTAGTTTATAAGTATTATTATTATCTTTAGGGTAGTTCTATTAAACACCACTATTGTACATATTATTACACGGAAATATAAATGAAAAATATTAAACAAAAAAAATTAAAGTCGTGTATATTCAATAGCTAAATGAGAAATTGAGATTTTTCTAAGGTTTTCAAAATTGAAACATTTTGCAGAAGTATTTATAAAAATACTAAAACATTAGCAAGCATCTAGTCCGATTTACAACTATGAACTTTTTGTAGCCCTATTTCTTTTTAGAATTGTACATAAACCATCTAAAAGGGCTTACAGTTCAGAATATACAGTGAACAAAGATCTCATACAGATTTTCCATGTGAAAATCTCAAATTTCTATTTTCGTGAAAATTTAGAAAAGGTTCATTGTCTGTAATCACAGATAGCTGTATTGTCAAGCATATCGAAAAAGAATTTCTAAGAAGAAATTTGTAAGAGATGCAATTGAGAATGTTAATTTTCAATTTGTAGAATTTCATGGCATTTATATAATGTTGGAAAAAAAATCATCTAGTGTTGATATAACATTAAACTTAACAAGATTCCAGTGTGAATCGAGTCCATGAACAATTTCCAACATTATATTGAATATAATTAAATTTTAATTATCACTTCAAATGTTAGTTTGAGTTCTAAAGAAAACAAAATTATAACATTGCTGTCAGTCTGTGAGTGCACACTGTCTGTCTTATCGAGACAAAATTATATTGCATTATTGTACGAGGACTAAGATATGTATAAAAAAAACTTTAAACTAAATTGTTAATAAAACTTTTTGTAGGGCCTAAATTATTATTATCACATTTGATTTATAATAAGCCCTGATCAGTGCATATATTATATTTAAAAAGGGCTTCTTAAGGTCATATTGAACGGACCACAATTCTTTAGCGTTTTTTCTTTAAGACAAAACGCGCTTAATATTAATTCATAACAAGCCTACTTCCATTTTTCTAACTAAACAACAAATTTGTAAATTTAAACAAAAAATTATAAATATTATAAATATACATATAAACCGCTCTAAGTATATAAATATTAATAAGTAATGAAACTCATTATTATAATGCAACAAATAATATATACGTAATCAAAAAAAGTAAAATTTACAAGTATGACATACATAGGAATAAATTTAAATGGCAAAAATGTGTTTTGTTGATTTTTTTGAAAAAGATATGTTTTATTGTTATTAGAATTCTTTTTGGCTTGCTCGAAGGACAAATTGTAATGCATTATCGAATAAAAATTGAATATAAAAATAGTAATATGCACAAAGATTTGTTAAAACTAGTTTATTTAATCATTGTGCATATTGTGAAATTGAAATTTTCCTGTCCCTTTGTGAAAACTTGTAAAAAAATATTTTGTTAATGAAATTTATCAAATTGATATTTTGAGTTTTCACAATGGGATAGTGTCGATATTGCATTATATCATTTGTTGCTATAAATTGTATAATTATTTTTGCCACATTCAAAATTTTAAATCCGGACACAGATTTTTAACTAAGTGCACAAAGCAAATGAAATATTTTACGATACTTAAATCATTTTCCTGTTATCGAAGAAACAATAGCCAAACTTATGAGAAATCGATAAAAAATCTCATTGAGCGAAATGATATACATACAACCCCGAAATAGCCTCATAGAAATTAAATGATTATTTTACGTTAGAACATAGCAAATATATTATATTATATATCTTATTTTATTATATGTTTTTGATTTTTCGATTCGTATTCGATTTGTTTATTCGAATGAATAAAGAAAAACCCAATAATTATTACAAATATATTGAATTATATATGAAAAAATTGATAGATAAAATGTTAATTTTAAAATAGTATCTGTAAATATTTATTATTATGAAATAATATGATCATATCATTGTCATTATTAAGAATTTATAAAAATTAAAATTTTCTCTGTAATTAAAAATGATGTGTTTTATTTGCGAATTTATTTTTCAGGAATTGCAATATAAATTATTTGAAGAGTAATATAATATGAAGATTTTTGCATGAAACAATAAGACAATTTTAATAAAAAGTCGACAATTTTTATGGAACTTTATAAAAGTTCAAATCACAAAAATTTATTTTGGATTGTAGTCATGAACAGAAAGTACCTATTGATTAAAAGGGTAACAAATTTATTTTATAAATAATCTCCAACTAGATTCAATATTATTATGGCATTGCCTATTACATCCCAGTGCCCAAGCAGACTATACTAATTATATGCCAAAGCACAACATAATACTTACAAATCCAATAAATCTAAATGAAACAAATCTTGCAAATCCCACAAATCTTATAGTCGACCCTTCTATAACGCGGTGAGTGACTACCGTGTATAATATAGAAACCGCGCTATAAAAAACTCGATTGGTAAAAACCACATTTGTACCGAGGACCCAATATAAAAAACAGGATAAAATAATATATACTGTTTTTATTGAATATAATATAATAAGAGTTCATATAATTATATTATAAGGATATGAAAAAATAATTTATTGAATTGAAGAGTTTATATAAAGATATAGTGACTAATAATCTTTTTGACAAAACAACTTCCAAGCTATTTTTTTAAAAGAGCAACGTCCATAGACGACACTACCGAAACCGATGTAGTGCACACATTTGATATGATTTATAAAACATAATGTAGAAGATGGTGTAGTCGATAATAAAACCTTTTACAATATCTAGTTGCCACAGTCCCTCATAGGATGCGCCAAAGAAAATTGTGGGTTAAACAGAAACCGTTATAGGAGTACTTCGTTATAGGAGGGCTGTCGCAAATTCAGTTTTGCGCAGTATAGAAACCATGTTCCCTGATTACCACGTTACAAGAGGCTTGACAGTGTATATATATTATGTAAAATCATAATTAAATCTACATTTTCGAATAAAAAATAATATATTAGACTACCAAGTGCGTACCGTGCAGTATGGGGACCGTGCTATAAAAAACTCGTATTTAACTTACGATTCAGGCTAATTCGTAGTGTGTTCTATGGAACCTTACATAGTGCAGTATGGTAATCGCGCTATGAGAGTACAAATCGCACCATTTTTATCGTGCTGTATGGAGACCTAAAAATACAACTTGAGTAGGAGTAATGCGGACCAAATGACATGAATGACATTGACACCTTTTTTAAAAATTGGTGCGACGCAATAGTCAGCTCAAACGTGTTCTTAGATAGCTATTATATAATCAGGCATGTCTAAAAGATCAAAGTCGATAACAAAACTTACATTAATACCCTTTTGATATCAAGTTCCTATTATCACTCATAGGTTGCGCAAGGAACTTATGGGCTGTTGAACAAAAACCGTGTAATAGGAAGTCCGTGTAGTCGGAGGGATGTCGAAATTTTAGCTCCGCGTAGTATGGAAACCGTGTACCCAGAGTGCCGCGTAAACCGAGGGTTGACTGTGCACTACTGCTAGGTATTAAGCTATACAAGACGGGATTCTAATCTCGAACCTGTGGTCGCAAGACCAAAGCTTTTACTACGAAGCAACGGCAGTCTGGAATATCTAGACTAGATAGAACCAAAAAATTTCCAAAATATTTTAAAATAAATTTTTCTTCAAAAAGTCTTTTTCAAAAATCTAATTTTTTCAGAGTATTTTTTTTTTCAAAAATGTTATTCTTTTAAAAAAAAATAATTTTTGGTACGGGAAGTTCTAGCAATTTTCCCCACTAGTTTTTAATTATAACCAATCTAATGCGCCATATACGATGTACGACATTTTTCATAACACCGCGGACAACAATGTGCAATGCCTACTCTCGACTTGACCAAATATACTCAATATATCCCAATGCTACACTCACAAACCAACATGTAGTAACACAAAATAAGGATTTGTAACCCTGAGCAGGAGCCCCCTTGGAAACCACGACTGGAAGCCTGGCAAAACCAAGTGGGAACCCCTTTGGCAACACTGAGTGGAGGCACTTTGGCCTAACCGAGTGGAGGCACTTTGGCCTAACCGAGTGGAGCCCCCTTGGCAATACCGAGTGGGCCTCCCCTTGGCAACACCGAGTGCAGGCTTCCTTGGCAACACCGAGTGGGGCTCCTTTGGCTACAGTGGTTCTACCTCACAAGGAACAAGGAGCAATTCTACGCAGTTATTCACGAGTCTCAGACTATAAATTATCACAAACAGCCATAATTTATTATGTTATCTCAAATCTACCTCAATTTTATAATTACATTCTTAGTAAACACGCTGACGCTGTAAAGTATCTTTATCATATTTATCACAATCTGCAACTGGCACAACTAGGCATAACAACAGAAAAGCAATTTTCACTTGGTAACTTATTTTGATCTGTATTTGAAAGTAGAAATCGATATTACTACTGCTTGATATCAGGTTGC